GTTAGGATATGCGTTACCAAACTCCTACCGCCCGGTTTCCCCGGTGCGACTGTGCGCAAACTAACCAGACTCGGTAAGTTGTCAGTTGACAAGCCTCGCCTTCGCCTGTTCTGTCCACACCGGAAGAGCGCCAAGCACTTCTGTGTTTCGCCTTTAAACTCAAGGTCACTGGTGTCATTGTGCACCCAGACCTCCTTCGGCGGATAGGCTGAAATTGAGCGAAGTTGTGCGAGATCTTAAAGCCCGACGTGAAGCAGGAGAAAAGGGTCACCGCTTGGTGGGTTTCCGGGTGATGAGTAGGCATTCCACTTCTACCCTGCCAGAGTCGGTTCTGATGGCTCACAATCGAGGACACACAATGCTAAATCCCTTCAGGTGATCTTAAGCAATGTGCGTAGCCTGCGTAACAAGTTGTGCGAAGTCGGCGCCCTTGTCGACGACTGCCGTTCAGAAGTTCTCGCATTCACTGAAACGTGGTTGTCTACCGACTTCACGAACAGTGTGCTTGCCAGGCTACGCACTTCTGAGGTGTGACCGCACCTCCGATCGGAGCGGAGGTGGCGTTGCTTTGTACGACAGCTCCGCGCTTATTGTCTTTAAGACGTATAGTTTCCGATCACCAGATGGTGATGTTGAGGCACTCGCAGCTAACCTGTGTATGGCCTCCGCGCAACTTAAATTTGTGCTTGTCTATAGAAGCCTTGACAGCGTTGCCAAGGGTTTCGTTGATTTCATCCGTAAACTTTCGGCAAATAGGTGTTTAGTGATAGAGGACTGGCAGAATTTTTCCTGGGACGTTGTTACAAGGTGTTTGGCTACCGAGCTTCTCGAGCTAGCCTTGCATGATCCCCTACACCAGTTTGTCGATCGGTCCACTAGATGCATGATATATCAAAACCCCTCCCTCTTGGACTTGATCTTCGCTAAATCCATTGATTTTGTCACGGATATTGTATACAACCCACCTCTCGGTACTAGTGACCACGCATGTCTACCAGATAAGTGCGCCCTTAGTCGTCAGACTAATGGTCGTCCCGACCGAGTTCCAAACATACGGCGCGCGGACTTTCAGAAAAGGAAATCCAAGGCTGTAAAGTCGCCTTGCGTTATTTTGGAAAGTGACGATATACAAACGGCCTGGGACAGATTTAAATCATACCTGAGTGAACACTCTCCCCCATATACTACAGTCTGGCAGGAATAAAGCTAGGGTAAAGTCACTCTGGTTTGATTCTGCTGTACGCAAACAATTTGACAGACGTATCAGATGTTGGCGTACTTACATATCTGCTCCTTCATCATTCACCTTCAAGCGCTACCAAGAGGCTCGAAATGCCTGCATCATCAACAGCAGTACATCAGCCATTTGAACTGATGCTTCGCTGCCATACAACCTTGAGGACCTATGAAATAAAGAATAAGAAGAGGGAGAGAAGGGGGACTTACCTGAAAACCTTAATGCCCTAAGCAAACATTCAGGGTCAAGGCGCCTACACCTTGTGTTAACAACATACTGTCACAAACAGCTGGCTATCGTGCAAAGATAAGGCGGCATCGGCGAGACAGCTTCCTTGCGGCTTTCACTGCCACGCGTCATAATCAGCCATTACCCCGCAGATAACTCAGCACCAAACACCCTTTAAACAGACAATCCGATTAGGAGACGGCAGCAGACGCGCCACTGGTGTCGGTTGTGAGCCATGTCCTGTAAAGTCTCGAGCCAAGCACAAGGTGAGTCACATGGACTCCAACCCGGAAGGCGAGACGGACCAACGGCACCCAGTTTGGTCGTCAGTGACTTCATTTCCCGCTGCCAAGTCAACTTCTGTCCACCTCGAGCCTTGCGCCATCCGACACCTGGTAGATTGAACAAGGCCCTCCTAGGTAAGCGGTGACCAGGCATGCGTAGCACGTGCCCGAGCCAACGCAACTTATTCAGTGCTAACTGTTGTTCTAGGGAGCTAGCATGATCGTCACCCCCTAGTACTCGCCTACGCACATCGAAATGCCTGCAGGCAGCATCTACGAGGTGCTTGACTACAGCATGAATTAGAGCTAGCTCGTATAGCCTCATCAAACTCGAAACGCTTCTTCGCGTATGTCAAAAAGTGAAGCAACATGAACTTGTGCATCCCAGTGTTGTTTGGCCGTGACGGCTCTGCTGCTGTCACAGATCACGAAAAAGCTTATTTGCTCGGAAGACAGTATGCTGGGGTTTATGTTCGAGAGTTGCAGCTGCCGCGTATCAGCCTGTAAGCAAAAGTTCCTGAGGGCTCCTACTTGGAGGAGGTTTCCATGACGGAGACTCAAGTGCTCCGGCTTCTAAAGCTGCCGGTGTGGATGCTATTCATCTCAAACTACTGTACGAGTTGGTTGATCCTAAGATTCTTGGCCCCCTCCACTTTATACGTTAATGACCTACCCGATGAATTGGGTGCCATCCTAACGTTTGAGGATGACTTGAAACTCTGATTCACAATAGACGATAAAATTGGTTCACTGACTCTACAGAGGGCTCTGGATAGACTTCGGGACTGGTCCCTTTTGTGGCAGTTGCCCGTTAATTTAGCGAAATATCCAGTTTTACGCGTTGGTGCGAATGACTCGCCGACGCGTTATTTGCTTGGCGGCAACAAGGTACCGCGAGTTCAACTCCAATCTGAACTTGGAGTTTTGCTGTCATCAGACTTTAAGTACAGTGAACACTGGACGACAGCTGTTCGCAAAGGTTTCAACATGCGGATGATCCGCAGGTCATTCGGGATCATGAGTACCGAAGAGTTGGTTAGAATATTTTAGGCTTTTGTAAGGCCGCACTGGAAATACTGCGTTCAGGCTTGTCCTGCATGCCTGATTCATGATAAGATGGCAGTTGAACGAGTCCTGCGGTCCGGGACGAAAATGTTGCACGGATTAAAGAAGCTGACGTACCCGGAGACGCTACGTAAGTTGAATATGTTTTCCATGTATTACAGGCGGCTTCGGGGCGACTTGGTCCTCACGTATCGTATACAGATGGGTCAGATTGGTCTTGATTTGACTGGACCGTTTCGCCCAACTCGAGCGCCAAAACATCGTGGCACAAACCCCGGTCTGACCGGGTTTGGGCAGCTTTTCGGTTACCCCGTAGGGTCATAGCTTATTGGAACGCACTGCCTGAAGACGTCGTGATGGCACCGACGGTGGGAGAGTTCGAGCATCGAATTGACGCTCTCGGTCTACAGTTTAACGTCTTCCCCTTATTGCCTTAGGCTTTACTCGTCTACTACAGCCTACGTTTCTTTAACTCATTTTAACTTACATCTTAATATTGCCCATGAAATCCGATAAGCTTGTCTTCTTTGTTTCCTTTCGTTTTCTTTTATGTTTCACGTGAGCGGGACAGCGGGCACTGCTAGTGCAGGGCACGTAGGCATTGTATGGTTGATCATGTGAATCGTGTGCTTATTTGACTTTCCTTTGGCATATCAATGCACCGGATTCACTGTCGGATCAACGACGTTTTCGGTGGAACATTCACGGGATTTTCCTACTGTTACGGTCCCACTTGAACTTGATTGACCGAGACGAATCCAGCTCGGATGCCCAAAAAGGTGGCAATGGTAGGCTGGCGATAAAGTTGGCGTTGCTCGAGGATTCGGCGTAGCGTAAACTTGTGGTCCACACACCCATGACCGGGGCAGAAACCAGCTTGTTCCTCATGGGAGTTTAGGTCTCGAATCGGTGTTAGTCTGAATACAAGAATGTGTTAGCAATTTGGAGGCGATGGAAATCAGACTGATTCCTTTGTGGTTGGCGCATGAGGTACGAGCGCCCTTTTTGAAGGTAGATATGATAACCGATTCGCTCCAAGAGAATGCAACCTTTTCTTCACATCAGATCTTGGAGAACAGAGCTGGTAACTGGTTGACAATTGCTTTGCCCCCGTACTTGAACAGCTCTGGAGGAAGTTAGTCTGAGGCAGCAGCTTTTAATCGCTATAAGTGACGAAGCTCAAGTAGATCTCGGGTGTGGTAAGTGGCTCCAACGAAGCGTTCCAAAGCAAGCGATTAGGCACACTCGTTGAAGAATCAGGAGGGTAACAAAACTGAGTGGAAGTGCTCAGCCCAGCGGTCCATGCGCGTATACCAGGTAACCAAGGGACATAAGAATACAGCAAGTACTAAGGTGATTAGGAATCGATGGAAGAGTATAGTTAAGGGTTGACAAATTTTCTGTTCGTATTGCGTCCAAAATTTGTTTCGTATCTTTTACGGATGGAAATCAGTCACTCGTCAGACACCCGTGCTATCAGGGTAAGGAAGTGTTACAACACCTGTAAGAGAGACTGTACATAAGGACGGGGCGTACGCCATTGTCGATGCGAATGTATACACTCGGAATGTGTTAATCCGTGTATTCGCACGTACATTAATGCACGTTGTCGGGGGGAAAGAGAGGGAAATATGTGACGAGTTATATCCTTAGTTGATTAAGAGAAAAAATCCTAGATAATGTCAATGTACTGTAAAGCATGATAGAAGTGCGAAGAGTAGGGAATAGAACAAGACTGCATGGTATGCAAAGGTATAGAAGAAACACACCACGATGACATGAGAAAAGATGGTTTTCATGTCAGTTTAAGTTAGACAAAGGTACCAGACTAAAACACAAGTGAAAAAACAAATCACCGATTCAGGGACCGGAAGTAACGAGAAATACCAGTGATTAGCATGAGCCAATACGAGGTGGAACCATGAAGACTCACAAAAGGGGCACATTGAAAGGGAACCACTATTGAGCTGTTCGAAGACGCTTATGAGGAAATGGTTGATAGTCCATCTAGGGCTGACGCATAGACAAGTTCATAGGCAAAAAGGCCACATGCAATCCAAACAGCATAAGAAAATGATAGCAACAAGACCTCGGTACGCAGGCGCACACAAAACTGTTAATCTAATATCCAGTTAACCCAAGTAAGCAATGACCTAATTCCATTAAAATACAAAGCGGAAGCCTACCTTGCTATGCTCCAAACCCAGTATACGAGGTACTGTAGGACCACAGAAGTCGGCGTCCAGTATGCCCACGCGCATACCTCTGAGCCACATGCACACTGCTAACTGAGCAGTAACTGTAGATTTACCCACACCACCCTTCCCGGAAATAATCACCAAAATGTTGTGAGTAGCAATCAGTCCGTGCAACATCCTTGGTAGAGATTATAACCTAAAAACGAGGAAAAATGAACATCAAAAATGTTGTAAAGGACAAATATATTGCATAATAAAAATTAACACGCGAATACATTAATAACGACTGTGGCCTTTAGAATTTCGGGAACTTCTGCGTGCCGGGCTGGGCGAATACGTAGAGCCATTGTAGCTCGAGCCGACACTGCTGCTAAATGGACTGCGATCTCGGTTATTGTTATTATGATGAAAACCATGTTGGTATGGTGATCCGTGAGCGAATGCATCTCTGTATGCAAACGCAGTCAAGCCTAAATGAGGTGGTGGTGTGATGGGAGAACAGTGAAAGATCTGATTCCAGTGAGAGGTGATCGGTGAAGTAGACGGTCGATAAGAGTCAAGTCTTCGAATGTGATCAAGAGGTGGCGTTGCAAATGAGCGGCCACGTTCGACAAATTCGCTCGAAGTAAAAGGCAAGACCGATGAGCGTAGACCTGTGACGACAGAGGTCATTTGTCGAGGTGAAAAAACTTGGCTCTCTCGGAGACTCGTGATATTTTGCCTGGAAGATGTGAATGGAGGGACGGGCAAAATTTTGGTTTTTGCAAACTTAGAACCACTTTTTGGTTGAATAACAACCTCTTTACCGAATAACCGCAGGCCACTGAACAGGCAACAAGAGTAAAGAACACTCTCTTCATCCTCGAAGGTAACGAAAGCTATGTTTCCTTTGACAGTAACTCGCTCAATCGGTCCAGTCTGAAGAAACAATTCGTAGAGGATAGCTTCAGTCACATCTGGGGGTAGACCTCCAACATATACGGTCCTATCAAGGTCCATGGGAAAACGAACAACCTCAAAACACCAACGCAAGGAAAAAAGGTTAGGGTGTAGGGTACACCTAAAACCATTCTGATGAGAGTGAACCACACTTCTTCCGCCTGTAGCGACCAAATCATGAAAAACCGGAAAAGAATTTCCGATCTCATATTTTTTAGTTCAGATTACCTATAAAAACTATAAAGAGCAGGGAACATTGGTTTTGCTTGAGGGACGGCTTTTAGCTAACAAACAAGCGGCGGATTTAACCTGAATATGGCATAGTGATAGAGTAGCCGGTCCGCGAGCGTCACGGTAACATGGTAACAGGTAAGAGGTCAGCCGGTTTTGCTCCCTGATATCAGTACCCTCATATTCCTCTCCGGCATTCTTCTTTCCGTCTTCCGTGCTTCCTTAGCTGCTTCCTTTACGTCGGCCTCTTACTCGGCGGCATCAGCGTACAGCTGTCTACGAGGTACTTATTTTGCGTTGCAGCTTGTCACAGTACTTGGAAACGGAAGAGCTCAGAACGCCGGACCTAAAGAATATTGCATATTTGGCGACCCTGCCATTTCCCCACAGCAGTCCACGAAGCTAGAAAGTAGCCATTGTGGCAATAGCTAACCTCCTTCTCCCGTGCTGCTTGTCGTTGAAACTCCCGAGCCTAATATACCACACTCAATGCCTTTTGCAGGTACATAAATTGACGCCGGTATAGGCCATTATGGGCGCTGAGGACAGTGCATGCTAAGAGGGCACCAATGTAGCCGGTCCGCGAGAGTCACGGTATCACCTTAACAGGTAAGAGATCGGTCGGTGTTGCTCCCTGATTTCAGTACCCTCATATTCCTCTCTGGCATTCATCTTTCCATCTTCCGTGCTTCCTTAGCTGCTTCCTTTACATCGGCCTCTTACTAGGCGGTATCAGCGTACAGCTGTCTACGAGGTATTTATTTTGCAGCTTGTCACAGTACTTGGAAACGGAAGAGCTCAGGACGCCGGACCTAAAGAATGTTACAGCAGCGTGCAGAATCGTCAGCCGTGCTGCCGAGGTACGAATGCTGTATTTGCCGCCATTTGTACTCGCTCCGTCGTTTCATATAAAAAGATGGGACTACCCTGAGAAGATTGCGATGGTCGATACGCATTAATGAAATACCAAATTTAAAACTTTATATTGGTTAAAAGCCTTCACCCCTACATGATGGCCTGGTTGCATTCCAACGGCCTTATTGCACTGCATTCTGGGTAAGAATAGAACCCTAAGGCACACGTTTGCGCAACGTTACTTACGAGATTTATTTCTGTGTAATCTCTCGTTAAGTTTCTGCTCGTAAGACATAATCACGCTACCGAAATGCATATGTGACCTACATTAACTATGGAGGCACACACGGAATAATCCCTTAATGCTTGGCATATGCTGGTATGTCGTTTAACAGGTTGTTTAGTGCTCACTCACGGCATAAAATTGCTCACATATTTTGCCGTTTAGCTGGAAATACATGGCAACAAAGTTTAAGCTTGGATGCTTGCCGTGCGAGCGTCAATAGGCCAAGTAAACCTCGTAAGCAAAGTGGCAACT